AGGTTGCTCCCCCAACTCATGAGGGGTCACCCCACACTCCTTGGACTCACATCACATCACATGTTACTCAAAATGACCACTCAAACACCAACATGTTACAAACAAGCCTGCAACTTAGGAGACAAAAAAAATTACGACATTCTGAAATCGACAAACCCATAACTCATAATAACAATGGTATTGAATAGATAAAATATGAGACCAATTCAAACCAAAACTCAAATTTTATTTCATTGAACCAAATCGAATACATTGAACATTGTTTTCTTAATCTATTTACAATTATTACAATTTTCATTACTTTCCAAATAACATTTTCAATCAACTAAATACACAAATCATTCATTTTTTATTCTAAGCACTACGGTCCCGGTGTATGGAGTCCTAAGTGCTCTTCCCTTGTAACGCCTTCGTGATCCAACCCTAACATACGTCTTCAAAGGTTGTTCATTTCCGTCAATGTCAGTAGGGGATACAAAACCAGTGTTCACAGATGGTTCTGTACGAGGCACACTTTGTCCAACGTCATCTTTATTTTGCCTTCTGCCTTCTCTTCAGCCAATTGTGCCTCCAAAGTTGCAACCCTCCTTTTAAGTTCTTCAATTAGAAATTCTTGTTCCTCTAAGGCACGCATAAAAGTTTCTCTGCGAGCTCTTTTTTGTTTCTTCTTTCCTCTTGGTTTAGCATCCTTTCTTTTAGGTGTTGGTCTGTATTCGTCCTTATCCTTCGTTGAAGGACCACCATAAACATCGTCAACAACCTGAAATTTAACAACACATACAAATTACACAACTTTGGTCAATATATGAAAACATAACAAAACTTTCGATAACAAACAACTTACCAAACCTGTCTCCATACACCGTTTAACGAACTGTCTCCAACACTTATATTCATCCAATGCAATTTCGTGGAAATTATCAATAGGACTTTTGGTGGAACAAACAGCTCAAAAAAACCATACCTAAGACAAATAAATCATCTTAACTTGTAACAAACTTAATTCAAATAACATTTAAGTAAGTACATCAAATACTATTAATTACCTGCAGCATGTACACACAACCGTTGACGTAAACGTTTGAAATACCTTTGCCTTTCTTCAAGCCTTTTGAAGCTTTGCACAAACTATGTAACAGAAAACGATAAACTAGACTACCCCAACAATAACTACCCAAAGCACTTAAGTTGTCAACAACATTAAACATTACGGGAAACACTTTCCCGCTACGTTTTGGAATAAAATCTCACTTATCCCTACCAGGAGGTAAAGGCTACAAAAATGAGAACAAGGAATCTTCTTCTTTTGTTTTCGCATTAGAATTTTGTATATTGAATTCAATTCCTTTGTTCCTTTGCCTATGTATTTCACACATTCACTATTGCCCAGCTCTTCCTTTAAGTTAAGTTTGCACCATCTGTACTCAGTCCCAACCCTAAATAAATATCATTTTCATTTATATTCAAAACTTTATTCCCAACTATAAAACCACTACTACAGTCGTCCCACTTATCCAATAACTCACTCAGTATATTTCTACCTACTTTAACATTGACATTGACATCTAAAAACCAAGCAAATGGAGTTGTCGCAATCAATGATCGATGCTCCTTTGTTAAGCGTTCGTTCAAAGTACATATATACTTTGTCGAAAAAGAGTGACGAACACTCAACTGCATAAACCAAAATCAAATCATCAAAACAACGAAACCCAATAACCCAAGCACCACAACACAACGATACGAACCCCAAACATTAACCCAAATCAAATAACCATGCTACGTGATGCCCAAACCGAATAACCAAGCTACGACATGGAATGGAAAACCACTTACCTTAGTCGTCGGACAATCGTCACCGGAACTTGCCATTACGCACGATAACAGGAGACCAAACTGGCCGGAGACAACAGGATGCAAATGGAACGAAGCGAGACGAAACGCAACCTTCGACCTCTCAAGAGAACGGACCTTCGTTTGCAATGGAACAGAGAAAGGGAAAGGCAATGGAACAGAGAAAGGGAAAGGGGTATTTTAGGATTTTCACTCAAAATAAGGGTTACGGTCATAGGTTTTAAAAAAAAAAAAATTTAAACGAACCAATGAGGTGGCGACACGTGGGGTTGTCAAAAAAGTGTTAAAAATCTGTTGTTGGAATATCGCGGTCCATACTGGATACATGCCTAATAATCCAAGGTATATACTAGATAATGGTACAGTACAGATATTTAATATCTAACCTCTTTATACTCAACTTAATATTTATTATTATAAATTTTGTTTGAGTGTATTCTATATAAATAATTAAATAATTAAAA